CAAAAATTAATCTAATTTAATTTCAAAGTTATGCGTATATTTTTTTTCGATGCGACATTTATTAACGAATCATCAGAATGACATAAATAACTAATTTTCGTTCAAAATGTCAATTACAATTTTTTTTACTTTTAGATGGCACAATTTAAGTTCTTAACAAACATTTAATTACATTTTCCAATATTAGCTTTACATTAAAATTTAATTTTCTATTTCACCTTAATAAATATGTTTATATTATGTAAATTATTTGTCATTTTTAGTAAATGAAGAGGTAAATGTTACCTATTGAGTCGTCCTGTTGCATATTAGAAGTGGATCACTTAAAAAATTTGCAACTCGGCGTAATTTGTGTTTTCGTTTTCTGATTAGCCTTCCCAAAGGTTAAGTGCACTTTGCACTTAAAGTCTTTTAAAAGCACTAAATGGATTATTTTAATTACACTGATTTACAAATTAATAAAAACGAAATGTACATTCGGTGTTACTATTTTTTCTAATGGACTTTTGCTAGCTAAACTCGAAAATCACAATATTTTGTATGACCTTGTTTTCGATATATGAATTTTTAGGAAGGCAGCTTTACAATTTGGGTTATATCTCATGTTATAAACGGCCAATCGGGTAGCAAAATTTGTCAAATTAAATATAATCGAATAGCCGACAAATATCACTGTCTAAATGCTCAATCAGTTAAGTAGTTTAAGTACAATGGGTTTAAATATTAAAAAAAAAACATTTTTGGACTACATTAACTTTTTACAGGAATTAATAAAAATCAAAAAAATATTTCCAATTTCAAATTATCCACATGGAGTTTACACTTTTACGAAGAAATTGTATTTACGAAAAAATCTATGGATAAATGTTGATGAAAAGTTATGACAGTTTATGTTCAAGTAGCAAAATTTAACTATTTGTTTATTTTGGGACTTTCATATTGTAGTAACAGTCAATAAAATTTCAATACATTTTGAGGAAATAATTTTTTGTTGTTTATTTAAGTAGTTACTGAAGCTTTTTCTTTCACATTTTGAATTTCACAGTATTACATTGTCACCATATTACTTTTTTTTATGATACTATTTTTGGTATTATGTTTTTAGATAACTCAGTAGGTATAAAATTAAAATGATCCAATCATTAACATACCATTTTTGGACTTTTGTGATATGTGACATAAAATGCAACGTCAAAGAATAGAACAAATAATTATTTGATAATTATTATTATTTAAATCCAAAAATGGATAAGTGTTAAAATACAATAAAATAAATAAATATAATACATAAAAATAAATATAATACATAAAATAAATAAATAGAACTAATGTCATAAGACGTTATTTTGTCGCACGCAGACAATTTATAAAACGAGCGAAGAAGGAGCGAGTTTTGTAATTGAGTGCGACAAAAGGTCTTATGACATGAGTTATTTGTGCTATTTTATCTATTTTGCAAAAATTCTATAAAAAAAATAATTTTATACCTTAAATTTAATTTGGTCAAATTTTAATTTAGATAGTTGGTATCACAGTCATTGGTTTGACAGTTAATGTCAAAATCGATTCGCTATGCCGTCCTTAATTTACTTATTTACAATAAGCAGATGTTAATGTTAAAAAAGAAAAAAGGATTTTCTTTGGTGTTAAACAAAATTTATTGCCAGAAAAGTCGCATAAGTACTAGAAAAATCATAAAAATATTATAAGGTATAACCAATATGCAAAATATTATGCTGTTTAAAGTACCCAGACTGCAATGAAGGTTCGGGATAGGAATAATCCGCTTCATTCTAGGAATATTCCTAGAATGATCCTCTAAAACTTCCAAGCACCATGGTGCATGGATGCATCTAAGAACATTCCCAGTGAATATTCATTGGGAATATTTCATAGAATAATCCTCTACAACTTCCAAGCAACATCTTGGAACATTTCCAGTGAATAATATTAATATTCAAAAAACAATAAATAATCTAGTGGAGTACGGGACAAGAAGGGAAAACATTTTGGTTTTTGGGTGACATTGGACTGACCCAAAACTAAGTACAATCCGGAATCCCCCTTAACCAGGGATTTAGTAATGCCCCCATTTAATTAGGGTTCATGAATGAGGTTTATAATTGGTTAGTACGCTGCTAGTAGTCTGCTGAAATTCGGAAACTGTTGTGAGCAATTGTTTGCCCTAGTGGTGGGCTAAACCGCTATTTTTAAGTAGCAGTTAAAACAGTTACCGCTTTTTTTAAGTAGCAGCTATCAAATAGCTGCTTAAAAGAAGCAGTTTATCCGAAACGGTGCTCGTGGGAATAGACCACAGCCGCTGACAGCGGCACGCGTGTTTCTTGCGCATGTTTCATTTTAAAACGGCTATTTGGGTTTGCTATAGCGCTATAGTAGCGAATCGCTTCTGCTTGGCTTACAAACGTCTAGGGAGAGTTCACAGAGATCTTTACTAGCAAATAATCGCGATCTTTTGCAATGATTGGAAATTATAATGTTGTTAATAATGATTTTCTATGCTAGGATTAGGTTTAAAAAATTAAAAATAGCTTAGATATGAATAAATTTTAGTATTAAAAATCCGAGTTTAAAAATTAAAATTTTTTTTACTCGGCTGCAAATTAAAACTCATTTTTATTTAAAGTGTATAACATATTAGTCTGTAACTTTACCTCCGTTAGTAAAATGATTTTACTAAAATCCCGACATCAAACAGCAGTGGCGCTGTCCAAGGCCGAGTAGCAGCTTTTTGATATAGCGGAATTCGAAACAATACGTTAAATGCGATCACAAACGGCGGAGTTAGGTTATGTTGTTGGTAGCAGCTTTTTTTAAAACCGGGTAACAGTGATAGCTGCTTCAGCAAAATAACTGTTAAAAAATAGCAGCTTACGCGATAGCAACCCACCTCTAGTTTGCCCCACTGTGTGAAAACCGTTTCCTCAGTGAAGGGGTCGAGAACTATCGATATATATATCTTGTCTTCATTTTGTGGTAGAAATTGTATTTACGTTTTCTTTTTCTTTTCTAACCATTAGAAGTTACATTTATAATATTTATTCTATATAATTGCTCTTAACTTTTTTGAATTCTCTTATACAGCTAGAAGCATGCAATGCCTAAAATTTAGAGGTGTTTAGTGGTTTATGTTTAAGTTAGGCAAATATCGGAACTGTTTGTTTATTTTATTTTCGTTCGTTAAGTTTTAAACATTTAAAAATTTTTGGGACTGGCATCTAAGTTTATGCTTATTTATGTTTTGTGAAGTTCTTACCTAATGATTGAATAATTTACACTGTTAAGCTGTTTTCAGTAATAATCATTAATGATTGATTATTGTTAGGTTTTTGTTGCGAATGTGCGTATTAGGTCATGCGATTAATTGGTAGGTACTTATCAGATATCATTTCTTTGATAATATTCGTGTATTCGCACGGCAACTACTCATCAAGTGACGTCATGCGCGGCACGAACCAAAACTCGTCCACGCGAGCATCTAGCCCTGATTGCTAGTTGCGAGCTTGCAGGTTCGGTTTTAAAATAGGTACCTACTCGTATTCTGAAAGTTGATAAAATACAGCCCAAGATATGTAAATGATACATACATATTTCTTTTGCAAATTTGGTAATAACAAAAAATTGTAACAGATAAGTCAGCCTTTTCCTTGGGGGGGTCCAGCGATGTCTGGGGGGCTCTGCCCCCCTAGGCCCCTTTGTAGTTACGCCAATGCAAGCCGATCGAGAATAAAAGTAAAGAAAAAGAGAATGAAGAGCCTAAAATTGAAGAACCTGATTTGAAAAAAAAAATAGACAAAAAAAATTTACAAAGAAAATAAATTTTTAATTTTATAATTTTACTTATTTATACTTACATGGTAAAAAAATTGGAATCGAAAAAAACCGTATGGACCGAAAAGATTGGTCCGAACCGGACATAAATATTTTTTTGGAACCCGAACCGAAATTTGTCGTTTCCCTCGGAACCGGAACCAGACAGGAACCATTATTTCATTTGGGCCCGGGTCCCTGGTTGTATTAGAAAAATATCCGCACCTTTAAAATTATTTGAAAATCGGATAATTATCCGCCTATTGGCATCACTGACAAAAACAAGACAAAGGCGTTACATTTGAACTACCGAGACGTTGCCATATTATTTAAGCAAAGTCATTCACATAATGAAAAATACTGGGACAAAAATAGATTGTATTTACCTACCTTAGAATATCTTAAAATATCAATACAATATCATATCAATATGTATATTATTTATATGCCTTTTTATAGAGAAAATATATAAGTAAGGTACTATAACTATTAACAACACAACCTCTAACAACAAAATGTTGGCACATTTGACCAGTTTTGCTATATTTTTGTTATAATATAATATTATGGTTTTGCCAATTTGGTCTGTGAGGAATTTTGTAAGTAAAGTACGGTTGTGAGTAAAATGTAAGTAATCAGGACATAACGTTAATTTCTAGATTTTCCTTTGGAAACTCTAAAACTGGACATTTTGGGAATTTCATTTTTAATGTTTGGCGACATTGCATAGCAAGTGTCGCTAATATAACATTAGCGACACTTGCATATATTATAATATTATTCTAATATATGCTATAATATAGACAATGCTCTTATAATAATTATAAAAGCTTTGATTAATAATACCCCTCTGATTTCCGGATATTTTTTTGGGTTCTAGAGTGGTTTAACGACTTTCATAATGTTTAATTAAAAAAATTGGATCTCTTTTTAAAGTTGCAAGCATATACCTATAACTAAGTTATATGTATATGGTTGTAATTAATTTCTAAGTAAACCCAGAAACTTTTTAAATTAAATTGGTAAAATAAATTGGCAACACTGCATTTGACAATTAACTTTTGTAACCTGTCAGACAAAGCTGATAAATTGTTGTGTATAAATTCAAGCTATGTTTGTTATGAAATAAAAATCGTATTACGTATCTGCGATAAGATATCGAAATTTAGAGAATGGAACAGATATCAACAACAAACTGTCAATCCGATTTAGATAAGTTGCAAAACTTCTCTGAGTGGTTCAACAGTGTGTACAGAAAGTCTATACTTTCTAATATCCCAAACAATAAAGAAGAACAAATCTATTTACTCCTACATTTAAAGAAAAGCATAAAACTAGCAGTAAATGAGTTGAGTTTTAGCAACGAACCCTATAAGTTTACTTGCAAAGAATGCAATAAAATAGTTACCATAGAATCTAACAAAGACTTTTGGACCAAATTTCAAGACCACGAACACTTAGAAGTTAGGCTTAGTAAGTGTTTTAGTAGTTTGCAAGAAATAAATAAAATGGAAAAAAACAACCCTAGTTGTAGCCAGGATAACCCAAACCCTAACCAAAATGCATTAAACGAAATAACTAAAAAACTATCAAATGCATGTATTTCATCTAAAAATGAAGACATCATTAACAGTGAAACTAATGGCCTTTCAAGTTCTCATAATAATGATTCCGATGATGGCAGTAGTTCAGAATCTAGTTTTAAATTTAATTTCCCATTAAAATATGAAGATTTGGTTGAGACTGTGCTATACCCACATTCTTTAATGAATGATGTGCGTAAAATAGATAACCTTAAAGAATTTACCATTCAAAAAGCTAATAAACATAGGGCTGTTTGTTTATTGTGCCCTTGTGAAATTATGAGTACAAAAAGTATTTCTAAAAAGGGAATTATTGACCATGTTTTTGGACAAAGACATTTAAGGTAAGTGAGAAATTAGTTTGTTTGTCATAAGTGGTCATAATATAAATGCAGCTGCATACTAGTATACCCATTTTAAGTAATAAAGAACAAAATCATTTTTATTGATAAAATGGATATACTCACAGGTCTGTGGATATACTGCATTTTAGCATTGGAGGGAAAAATAGTATTTTATAATCTGTAAATAATACAAATAACTAAGTTGTGCTTGTGCACAATTCTGTGTTTATATAAATTGCCATGTCATAAGTATCAAGGATTGTACTGCCCTGCTAAGCAAATCTGACGTATCTACAATATTAAATAATATACAGGGTGTCCGGGAAAAGACCCATACTTTACAAATTATCTCTAAAACAAATCATTTTATCAAAATTTTATAAGAGACAAAATTTTTTTAACAATAAATGATAACCTGAAAAAATACCGTTTGGAAGTCATTGGCGCACGTACTAAAAATAGGGGGAGTCAGTGAGTACTGGACCCCCCCTATTTTGATTATTTGACAATTGTTTTTTCTTTTGTTCGTCTCAAAAAATGTAACTATTTATGTTGAAGTAGTGTACCGAATTTAAACTTAATATCTTATCAATTACTCGAATTATTAAAAAAAATCAGTTTAAAATTTCAAACTTTGTCGCCCTGTATATCGAACATGAAGCTCTAAATTGAAAAATGGTATTATGAAAGTCTTATTGTTTTAACTCAAGGAATATATGGTTAACGGATTGACCTCCTTTTCCAGGACACCCTGTAGAACTAAAATAATTTTTATTGTTTTTACCAACTTAAATGATCTTTTGTTCTTTATTTCTTAGTATTGTAGATACAGCAGTTTTGCTTAGCAGGGCAGTATAGCTCAGGTAGTAGAACGCTCGCGATATACACTGTGTGGATGCCTGGGTAATCTCCAGTGGTAATGGTCATTTATTTATGTGACACGTGACATATCATTTATATGTCATTTATGGTAATTTTGATTTCCTTTTCTTCAATGTAGGTATAAAAGCATTAGACAAGTGACAAGTGACTAAAACATTAATAGACATAAATTTAAACATAAATTTATTTGCAAAAAAGAATTTAAACAAAATCTAAAATTAAATAAAAATCCCTTTATAAATAAATCTCTTCAAACAAAACAAAACCATATCCTAGTAGAATATAAAAATATCTAACTGGTTTAAAAGTTAACTATATTTTTGTCAGATTTATAGTCATCGACATCAAAGTCATCTAATGACTTAGAAAGTGCAGCTTCCATCTCCTCATTGGTTGTGATTACAACATTATAATGTTGATTCTTCATATATTTTAATGACGGTCAGTAATTCTTTTGAAAGTAATTAATGACAAGGGTGTCATAAAAATAAATGACATAACCGTTATTTTCATTATGACCGTGACATGACATTGTCATAAAAAATTGCTTACATCCCTAGATATGGAGTACACACATCTGTACACAACACCATCTTTTCACAGTCAAAATACAAGTATACATTTCAGTAAATGTATACCTCCACTGACTGGTAAAAGTGTGCATAAAAATAATATAATATACTAGGAATAACAATGTAATTAAAAGAATATTCATTTGTTGGAAAGTGTGTATGTGTGTTTTTTGGGTTGGTTTGGTTGTTTAGTTAAATATTTACATTTGTTACATGTTATTATTTGATAAAACAGGCAATACCTTGGCAAAGTCTAAGGGCAACACTATCATCATTTTTACCAACTGTCACTATCCGCTAGATAAAAATAATATAGTCGAGTTTAAACCAGAGATATCTCTGGTTTAATCCCACATTAGGAACACGTACAAAAAATGTAACTATGTAATTAAATTGGTTTAATAAAAATAAATCATAGTATTTTAGAGGAATATTACCTACTTAAAAAGTCTTGATTTATAAAATACGTGTTACAAATGTTGGTCGATTTTCCCTTGGAGAAAAAAATCAGATTGTTTTGTTAAGAAGAATTCCTACCCCAAAAATGTATTGGCTTATTTCCTTTAACCCTTGCAAGTCCAAAACTTGGTAACCCAGATTGTATATATTTTTATAGGTCTGCTTCAAATCCAACCAACGTAGATGCCTTAATAAAATACCACAATGTGTTTTTAAATATGGAAACAAGCTACCAATGTCACCAAGTATATTTTTTCCCAGACATGAATAATTTAAAGTGTATATTATGTAATGTATTTATTAAATACCATGCTGCCCAATCACACATTGATTCAGACACTCACAAAAACAAAGTTTTGTCATTGTTTGAAAAAGGATTTGATTTTAACTTGCTAACCAATCAAATACATGGTTATGGAATTAAACTAGAAGAGATTATAAAAAAAGTTCCACCTGTTAATGCTGTAAAAAGCCAAGGAAAAAGGCAAAGGGAAAGGGCAGATTCTAGTGCAGGTAAAAATATAATATAAAGTTATTATTTTTTGCAGAATGGTTCCTAAGTTCGAAAATTTAGGAGCATATAATATTATCAGAGAGTTGCTATAAACATGTCTACCTTCTTGCTTGTTTTTTTCGGTCTAGTGTGTTAAACTTGAACTTTACCAGGTCATTTTACAAATAAAATATATAAACTTTTTTTGTTGGATAGATCTCTAAAAATAAGTTTATTTATTTATTTATTTATTAAAGACTCTACAGGAAAATTTTCCCAATTACAGAGCTTTTTCTAAAATTAACTTAGAACTAATTTACATAATATGTATTTTAACTTCTATTCTTAATTAATTCTATTTACTTAATTCTATTTACCAAATAAAAAATACACTTTCAATAAATACTTGAAAGTATTTCTAATACAAAACGAATATCTCCAAAAAACTATGTTACCTACAACTATCTTAAAATTTAATTGTCCAAAGTCCAAAAAATATCTTTTTAAAGTATTCTTAAAAACAAAAAAATTAACACCAAAAATGTCAAGAATGTTTTGTAAATTATTATATATATAATTTATGGGAGAGTATTGAGTATAATTTGTAGAACATTGTTTTTCAAAAAATGTTTTGACTAACCTGGTCTTCAAAATTGGTATGTAAAAATTTATTCTATTTAAAGAAAAAATGTCATCAACCAAATAATGTATTACCTTGTACAGATCTTCTATTTTCTATCGATAAAATGTTAGATCTTGATAAAATTTAAACGCATAATATGTCTCTTGTTTTAACGACTAAACCATCGAGAAAGACTAGAATGACTAAACTTAAAATTTTGAAAAGTACAATTAGATATTTTTTTAGCAAGAACGTAACCACAGATCCACTTAAAATTATTAGAGGTCAAATTCTGAAAAAATGCACGGTTAGCGAGTTATGAGCCAAAAAGCAAAAAAACCACTTTCGGGGGATGAAATTAGGGGACGCGGAAAGAAATTTTGGGGAATATTCTTGATTAATTATCAGCACCCCTAACTCTAAAAAAATAAAACCCGACTACCATCGAGTTTTCCTTCTACAGTCTTTCTTTCCTGGACTATATTTTAAATATTGATTTTGTACGCAAGATCACATACATAGAGTAATTCTTTTATAAACCGAACACCTTTTGACCGACACATCTCAGATTTGGCTGAAACTTTTTTTACGGATTCTATGTCGAAAAATAAGAAATACGTGTCCGAGGAATTTTTTTTCTCTCACATATTTTCGATAATACAAGCTATCGAAAATTTGAGTTTTTTGGCTTGGAGACTCATTTTCAAAAAATTATAACTCTGGTTCTATTTGAGCTACAAACTTCTTTTTTTTTAATTTTAAAGCTAAAGGACTGAATTTTGATAAAAAAATATTTTTAATAAATATTATTAACAAATTCATATTGTTATTAACAATTTCATTGTTTAAATGAATTTTTAACAATGGCCCCCAACTCGTATTAAGTTTTTAGTATTTTTATCGTATTCTCCGTCAAATTTTACATAAAAAACATGTTTTCAAAATATGGTACCTTTATTATTACTATTGTTAAAACATTAATTTGTATTGCGCGAAACATAAAAAAACGGTTTTTTGTTAATAAAAAGAAAACTATAGCTCGGATCAAAAAAAGTCAAATATAAAAGTTGTAGATAATAAAAAGATATACAATTTTTATTTTAACTATTTTTTGACATAACCTCACTTTTCAAAAAAATTTGATAAATTTCAATTTATTTGAAAAGTGAGGTTATGTCAAAAAATAGTTAAATTTAAAATTGTATATCTTTTTATTATCTACAACTTTTATATTTGACTTTTTTTGATCCGAGCTAGTTTTCTTTTTATTAACAAAAAACCGTTTCTTTATGTGTCGCGCAATATGAATTAATGTTTTAACAATAGTAATAATAAAGGTACCATATTTTGAAAACATGTTTTTTATGTAAAATGTAACAGAGAATACGATAAAAATACTAAAAACTTAATACGAGGTGGGGGGCCATAGTAAAAAATTGATTTAAACAATGAAATTGTTAATAACAATATGAATTTGTTAATAATATTTATTAAAAATATTTTTTTATCAAAATTCAGTCCTTTAGCTTTAAAATAAAAAAAAAAGAAGTTTGTAGCTCAAATAGAACCAGAGTTATAAATTTTTGAAAATGAGTCTCCAAGCCAAAAAAACTCGTTATTCTCAAATTTTCGATAGCTTGTATTATCGAAAATATGCGAGAGAAAAAAAATTCCTCGGACACGTATCTCTTATTTTTCGACATAGAATCCGTAAAAAAAGTTTCAGCCAAATCTGAGATGTGTCGGTCAAAAGCTGTTCGGTTTATAAAAGAATTACTCACATACGTGTTTATTGAAACTTTGTTCATTATTTAATTGTAGAATCCCTGTATATCTTTTTATTTCAGATAAAGAAGTCGTACACTCCATAATAAAAGCTGTGGACAATGTTAACCCTGACAACATTTTAACTTTACTGCCAAACAGGTTTAAAGGGCACAAAGATTTTTTAAAATTGCAACAAAATAAATTGCAATGCGTTCCTTGTAAAGTGACCATTACAAAAAGCATAGATTTAATAAAACAACATATTCAGAGCAGCATTCACCTGCAGAACTCTAAACATCAGGTGGTTTCCTATAAATATTTTTGCGAAATTTGCAATGACAAGTTCTCCAGTGAGGTACAGTGGGAAAAGCATTTTGTAGGCCCCAACAGGTAATTTAACAGCTACAGGGTATACTATAAGTCACAGAATGGTTTGAATAGCTGATAACTTCTTTGTTGATGAAATATTTCTTTTAATTTTTTTTAATAATAAAGTACAGTCTTTAGAGATTTTATAACATGATTTATACTTTAATCTTTATTATTTAAAAAATTGAATAAAAATATTATCGATAATATTAAGAAGTTATCGACTATTCAAAGTTTGAATTGAATTTTAAACCACTCTGTAGTACCTATAAAATATTTTTGCTTGGGCCATTTTAATTACAAATGTTTTTCTGTACTAGACATGGCAATATAGGGGAATCCCGTAGAAGCAAAGTCATTGAATATGAATGTACCACATGTTCCACGGTAATTTTTGGAGATGAGTTATCTTTAACTAGGCACTTATCAGTTTCGCCTAAACAAGCTATAAAAGGTAGGGTTCTTAAAAGAAGGAATTATATATTTTTATTTTTATATACTTATATATATATTTTTATCCTATATTCCGTCCAACAATTATTATTATATTAGATTATTAAGGTGCCATTTTTTATTTTTGTGCATTAATTTGTGTCACTTATTAAATTGTGCTTTGGATTATAATTATAATGTATAATTAAAATTTTTCTCGCACATGTCCATTACAAAACTCGCCACTCCATCGTCGCTCGTTTTGTAAATTGTCCTCGTTCGAAAAAATTACGTCTTATGACATAAGTGCTTTAATATACTATTTTTAACTCAAACAAAATGGTTTGTAAAATTTTAAATTGGACACAAATTTCTAAAACGAATCGAAAAATCGTTGCTGTAGACCAGTGTTATTATTAAACATAGTATGGATGCACATGTTTGGAAGCTCACAATAATAAAACATATAAAGTTTATGTGACGTGCTCCAAAGAAAGGTACCATAACGGCAAAATATAGATTTTAGTAGTACAGTATGCTGCTATTCTAACTATTTTACTACAACGTTTGCTATTTTAAAGATCATCTCCAAAAGCAATAGAAGCAATAACATAAAATCTACAAATGTACCTTTTTCAGAGCTCGCCACATTCTTAAAAAATACCAGTGTACCAACTTAAAATTTACTGTTATGTTAAAGAATTATACGGTAATAAAAATATATTCTATTTTTATTCATTTCCAGAGGTAAAATTAAATGAGAAACTAAAAACAATATTTGCCAATAGAGATTGCCTTAAACAGTACTGTAAGGAGTTAACAGCCGAAGCCAATGAGGTAGTAGAAAATACTGACAGAAACAACAAATGTTGCAGGGCTATTGAAGATCTATTATCAGTTACATTTCAAGATTGCAAGGCACATCCTTTTGGTTCCAGAATATCTGGCCTGGGAAATCATGTAAGAAAGAGTCATTATTTAATACAGAACGTTTGTTGTACTACTTTAATTAAAACTTTTTAGGATAGCGATTTGGATGTATTTTTGGATACGGGAGGAATGTATAATGGTGATAAGTGCCAAGATGCCACTGATCAAGTAAAGTTTGTTAAAGAAGCAGAAAAAATATTCAGAAAAAGTAATAAAATATTCAAAAAAATACAATGCGTACCCACCGCTAGAACTCCTATAATAAAATTATTCCATGTGGCTACTGAATTGGACTGTGATATTTCATTCAGACACGGCCTTAGTGTTGAAAACACCAAATTTCTTCGGTAAGTTTATTTAATTTATCATTACCATTAGTTATTGTTATTTTTTAAAGGTTTTGTATGTTGGCACAACCAATATCTCAAACGTTAACGTTAATTTTAAAACAATGGAGTTGCTTGTCAGGTTTCAATGATAACATATCCACTTATGCCTTGGCTATGATGGTCATGTTTTTTTTGCAAACCAAAAAAATGTTACCTTCTGTTGCAAAAATTAGGGAGACTAACAAAGGGCCTCACGCTGTCATTGATGGTTAGTATTTAGTTTTAGTCAAATGTATGTGATGTGGATGAGATAATCGCCCCAGGGTCAATCCACATCAAATAAACGAATTTAATTTGAAGAGGTTGCTAAAAGAAATTATGTTTTTTAACCCACAAACTTTATACTATACTCAAAGAGTTGATGACAGGTATTCATTAACTTTTATAATATAACATATTATGTTTTGTGAGCGGTAGCTCTGTAGCTTCTTGTTTTTTAAAGATATTTATTTAGTTTAAACATAAACCAGGTTAAAAAGGATATTAGGTACAATATTTTTTGTCCAGTATATATAGGGTAAATTTTAACGTTTTTAAAATAAAAACTTTTGCAATTAAAAATGTTAAAGATAAAACTAAGACTCACCTTAAATATTTTTTCTGGATATAGTCTTTATAGTATACTACTTTGATAAAAAGTTTTAGGCCTTAGAGATGAATCCTTTTCTTTAAAGGGTCTTCAAATGTGGTTTCAATTTTACCACTGAGACGTTAGTAGTTTTTTATTTAGACATTTTTAAAAATAGCTAAAATATTCTTTAAATTATCTAAAAAAAAATTATTGAAATATCAAAATTTTAAAAAAAAACATTCTTTTTTTTGTAATAAGTTGTTAAAATTTAACAATAACAACAAACAATCTTAAAAAAAACAAAAGACATCCTTTTTCTGCTATCCATGACTTCTTTTAGGTCGTTTTAAAAATGTACAACTAAAAAACTAATAAAGTCTCAGTGATAAAATTTTAACCACTTCCACCTATTCAACACAATAAAATATTGTGTTCTGAAAATTTTGAAATCATTCTAGCCGAAGGACGTAAGTCAACGGCCCTTTAATGCTTCAATAAAGAACATTATTATTATTATTGAAATCATGAGTGTGTCCCGGATTAAAATATACTTGATTTTAGACGAATCGCAATATGTAGTAAAAATTAAAAAAAACACATTCTTAGTTTTATTTACATATTTTTTATTTTTTAACAAAACAAAAAACACTTGTTATAAATGGTGTCTTAAAAGTCTCAATTTTTTCGCGCGTCTTACTTAATTTTAACAACTTATTACGCAATAAAATAATGTTCTCTGAAATTTTGAAGTGTGATATATTTTCGATTGAAGTTTATTGAGGAATCTTTTAGACATTCACCAATTTCTCCTTTATTTCATATTCCACTGACGAGATTACTGCTGTTTTCAAAACTTTTTACTACACTTTGATTCATCGATTTTTGTAAGGCTGTCTTTAAATTTATTTATTTAATTTATTTATTTAATTTAATTTATTTATTTAACCTTTTTTACTTTTGATATCATCTTTTTTCGAGTCTCCTAGTAAGGTCCAAATATCTGAGAATTAAATTCTTGTAAGATCTTCTATTCACTTGTTGTTTTTAGAGAATAGTTGTTTATTTTATTAGGTGAAGAATGTTGGGAATTATTAATTAGAGCATGGTGGATTTTTAGAATTTTCTGTATTAGATTATAATTAGATTAATTGTTTGCATTATTGTGTAGTGTAGTTTTATGGTTGGCGTTTTTTTTGTTTGCCTGAGTTTTTGGCGCGCTGACAATTTCGCGTATTTTATTCTTTTATACTTTTCCAATTCACTTAATGATATTCTCTTATTTAACATTTCTTCCTTAAATCTTTTGAGTTTCCGTTTCTTCTGACCTTCTATAACCCATTCCTGCCAGTATGATCATCACCAAAGTCACTCATAATTGAAATTTAATTAAATTGACTAAATTCGCAGAGCTAGTATAAAAATTGTAACCACTTATTACAACACAATTAAAGAATGTTATTTGAAGATTTTGTATTTTTAAAGTGTGTCCCTTCTGAGGTAATCCTGATTAATTAAATATTGCGATTTTAGAAGAATCGCATTATTTAATAACCCACTAAAAAAAAGGATGCAACTCTAAATCTTTTTAGGGAAGTATACAGACTATGTCCAGAAAATAGTATATTATGTATCAAGTTTTATAAACGCCATTTTAGTTACGAGTTTAATTAAGCACGAGCGAAGCTTGCGAGCGAGTGTTTAATAAAAACGAATGTCTAGAGGAGTTTATAAACGAGTTGCATACTATATCTACGACGAACACAAAACAGAATTTAAAGCCAATTTTATTTGTTAAAATTTGTCACACGAATTTAACCTCACTTTTTCCCAATTTATAAAAAAGCTGACTTCAGCCCGTGGCGTAAAATGTCGAAAAGCCACTGTTGTTAACTTCAGCCCGTCAATAAAACGCCATAAATTCACAGCTCGTCAATGTAGGAGTAGATAAAAATATTTAAGCTTAGTCTTAGTTTTATCTATAACATCTTTAATTGCAAAACAGAAAGTTTTTATTTTGAAAACGTTAAAATTTACCAATTTTTTTGCTTATTTACAATTAAGTAGTATAGTATAGTAGTACGCCTATAAATAAAATATTGTACATTTTATGCTCTTTAACGTGTTTTTTGTTTGAACTAAATATCTTTAAAAACGTATATCTGTATGCAGTTAAACGCAAACCTCTGTAAAATGCAAATACCTCTGAGTATAGGTAATATACCTAATAAAAAATAAATACATTTTTTCAGCAACCATCATGAAAATTAAGTTCCATATGGAAGCTTAATTTTGAGAGTACTCTCCAAAAGCATGTACATATAAATATTATTAAATGAATTTGTAGGTTGGGAAACAATAAATTATAGTGTGCCTTTTGAGCATTTCCATGTTCCATATAATGATGATATAACAGATTTATTAAATGAGTTCTTTACATACTATTTTAACTTTGACTATAACATATTGGTAAGTTTCTCTTCTATAGTCATATAGTTTATTATAATAATAATGTGTTTAGGTTATTTGTCCTCTGTTGGGTAGAACAATATCCAAAAAATACTTTGTGGAAAATGAGGGTCAATATTTACCCAATGAAATGAAGTCGTACAAAGATAAACAAAAGTTGGACAACGCAGAAGAATTTCGGGCTAATTCACCGATTTGTATTCAGGATCCTTTCGACCTAAGTCACAATTTAACGAAAGCATGCAGCTTCAGCATCCTTGAGAAGTTCAGAAAATATTGTGAATTATCGGTCAAACATTTAAGCAAGATTTAAATTTTTATTATGTCTTATAGGTTTTTAATAAATGCTTTTTATTAATTATTAAGGCACCACCATAGTTATGTTACCTATTATAATTTCAAAGTTTTTACGTATTTTTTTGCTAATTATTTTTTTCAATTTTGTTTTTATCAAGTATAAATAATTTAGTAAGATTGTTTCTACCGAGCATTTGGACTCAAATGGACGCAGTAGTAAAATCACGCGATTTCCATTCGACAGTCCAAATGCTCAGTGGGAACAAACCTTGCATACTACAGTATATTATATGCAATTATATGTTTTATATTTAAAAAAAATGTTTTCCTGTGTAAATTTTAAGTTTAAAGGGTTTTTAATAAAAAACAAAATACTAAAAACAATATTTATTTAATAGCACACATTGTATGTAAAATAATCTTAAATTACAAAACTATATATAATAAAAAAAATTGACTTAAGTATCACCTCAGCTTCTGCAAACAATTTTTAAAATTATTGTAACACAAATTATATGTAAGAGAATACAAATGAAGGCAGGATAAAAACTGCCAGCATATGCTGTGATATGTGATATGATATCATATGGGTTACAAGGGGACAATACATCAACTTTTTGATTAATAAATAAATTTCAAACACGGTTCTTTTCTGGAGAGTATCATTTCATATTGTGCCCCAGTGAAATATTTAAACTTTAATCACATAATATAATATATTATGTGACTATAAAGTAATATATTATATCACCATACATTTCAATATAAATAGCAGACGTGTTGGAAACAAACAAGTCGTAACTCTAGCCCCAGTAGAAACGGTAAAAATGATTGTAATTATTCCGGAATTGTGTAAATCGGCAATTCTAAACTATGAGTTGCAGGCACAAACCATTTTCAGCAGTTTTATACATTCAAATTACTATAATGTGCAACTATAAAAAATATAATATTTTAAATATGCTAAATATAAAAAAGAAAGGGCAAAAAATATTGGACGTTACACAAAAACCGGTATGATGATGCACATGTTATAGCTATCTCTAGCATCGTATGACGTCATGTGCGAACCAAAAGCTGGCGGGTAACTAGGTTACAATCACACTCCTCTGTGGTTAGAATCTTATTTGCCCTGCAAATTCACTTTATATTCGAAAATTTATAGGGAATATAGGGACAGCCTGGGTGCAATTATTTACTGTAACAAATGTTAAGAGAAAGCTAAATTGGCAGCAAGCGCTTTTTATGCTAATGTAACATATTTTAAGGAACAATTAATTTCCTTTCTTCCTATTATTATTTTTCAATACATTTTTATTTAATTGAATTTAATTAATTAATCTATGGTCGGCAATGTGCACGCGTAATTTGCTAATAATTTTGCTGCATAAATACCTTCCTATTAATGTTAAATTAATCTTAATGTTAATGTTGAAGTTAATCTTAATGTTAATTTGTGCTGCATGCATAAATCCACCATAACTTAGGCTAGAACAAATTTTACATTTTTTTAATGTGCATTCACATTAATGGTACCTTTAAAGGTAACAAAATTATAAAAATGCAGGTATTAGTAACGCACGCCCGCTTTAACCCTCGAGCGGGCGCGCTGGTGCAAATGTGGTACCAATAATACTTAATAAGGGCGTGGGGCATGAACAAATGTTTTGTATCTCTTAGACTAAGAGTCTTAGTATCTTCCCAGGCCCGGCTCCAGACATTTTGGTACCCCGTGCAAAAATATTTTTGCCGCCCCTCATATATGAGGGGCGGCAAAAATATTTTTACCTACTTTTTAGTGCCCATTAATTTGGTACAATTTCTAAAAAAAAACTACTTAAATAATATCGTCCCCTTGATGCTACAATTGGATATCTGAAAAAACAAATTTGTAAATAAAATATTTTAAAATTGGTATGTAAGTATTTAGTAGAACTGGATTCGTAAAATTTCGAGTTATCCAGTTGTAGCATTAAGGGGAAGATAAAATTAACAAAAAAGTTTAAAAAATTATTATTTAATAACAAATAAATAAAATATCATCGCATTCTAAAAAAACAGTAATATATTCTAATAATAATTATTTTATCTAACATTATAAAACTGACCAGTAGTAAAAATATGAAAAATCTGTTTAAATTAAAATTAAATTGGAAATATCTACTTAATTTAGAACCTATATCGTATTGTATTGACTATTTCCCTCGTCTTAATTTAATTTTAAATTACAAATGCATGGTTTCTAGGTGAAAAAACTGTGTGACAGCACTTGTCAGCAGTTTTTTCGAGTTTCCCCGTGGCTGTTATCACCAAAAATTGCAATTTATATTTTAATTGTTAACTGTTAGGTAATCATGAAATAGTCTTGTCAAATACCATTCGGGCATCTAATTTTTCCTGTGAAAAAAAATGAAAAAACACAATGCTAAGTAATATTTTTTAACAAAATGCATTCGTGCAGGTGCAAAAATCCTTCTCTTCGACTCGGATTTTTGTTGCCACCAGCACTCTTGCTTCTTGTTAAAATATTACTTAGCAAATGCCCTTATGATATTACTTACGAATAACTTTTTGCCACCTTTCGATTTTTGCCGCCCTTCGAATTTTGCCGCCTTGTGCAGGGGCACGGCTGCACGCACGTACGTACGTACCCTGGAGCCGGCCCTGTATCTTCCTAGATATTGCAATATCATGATGACGAAGGGTTAGTTAAGTTTTTTTAGTTTAAATTTTATTAGTGCACACATGTGTGTTTACATCGGTTTAAACTTAATTGGAGCAATTTTGCTACCACGCTCCTAATGATGTAAGTATATTTTTAGTTTATTCTTTTTTAATTGTAATATTTTTTATGTTGTTACTAGTTTTATATTGCTAAAAAATATCATTTACCAGTTTCTGTTTAGTAATAATAATATTATTGTTAGGTTCATTCCAACCAGCAGTAATTTCCAGTAATATTACTGATACACATGCGCGTTTGTAAAATGTCGTTCCAACCAACTAAAATTACTAGTTTAGAACTGGCAATTACTGTCAGTTCGTCGTTCCAACCAGAGTTACGAACAGTTAAATTACGGTTCAAACGATTCTTGCTCGAGAGCAAGAACTGTTGATAATAAAATTAGACGCATGCGTAGAAGGGGCACATAACCTCATCTTTTTGTTTATTTATTAACGTTTGTAATATTGTTTATTATTTAAAAATGACTGCTATACAAGGTGATTTTATTAATTTTTAATGTTAATAAGTACATCTAATTTTTGTCATTTGTGAACAGGAATTAAAGAATTTATTATCAATGTGTGATGTTATTTGTTTTCTGTTAAAGTGGACATATTATTTAAAAATGACTGCTATACAAGGTGATTTTATTAATTTTTAATGTTAATAAGTACATCTAATTTTTGTCATTTGTGAGCAGGAATGAAAGAATTTATTATCAATGTGTGATGTTATTAAAATATACTTTTATATATATTTATAAACTCAACAAACCTGGGTTATATTTATTTCTAGTAGCAATGTCCCCAATAAAATCTAAATTCCTTGTCATCCGAAGAATCATACAAGTAATTATTTAAAAAACCTGCCATATTTATTACTTTATTGAAATAGATATACCTATATGCGCTTTACTTAGCTTTTAGCACAATACAATTGTGGGTTTTGGGTTATATTCTTTTTCTTCTGATTGTGAGTACTACCAGTTCAAAAAAGGTTCCAACCAGTTTATACATTATTCAAAATAATTTTACTATTTTTGTTCGCCCAGTCGCATTAGCGCTGTTACGGACGATAATATTACGGTAATATTACTGCTGGTTGGAATGAACCTGTTATTAGCATTCCTAATACAAGTATATTGAGTATATAATATAGGTAACTGTAATTATTATTATTATCTTTCCAAAATTTTTTATTTTATTCTATTTACTTTATTTTAGGACAAAAGGTCTAAAATTAGGTTTTACCTTCATATATTCAATTATTTCTAAAGGCCCGGGTTACAAACATGTAGAAGAAATACAAAAACAAGATGAAAAAAGAAAAAAGCGGCGACGTTGTTGTCAGAAATAAATTTATGTCACTATTTTGTGACAAATGTGATAATTTCGTTTGTTAAGAGCACAGTGAAAGTACAATTTCGTACGAACAAAAGTAAAACAAATTTAGTTCAAAATGATGAAGATGACTAACTTTTTATTTTTGTAAAATATTATATAAATGTTTATTAGATATAATATTTAAATGTTTAATAAACATATAAAACTAATTATTTAGACTTTATTTATAGTATTTACTGCTAAAACACTATTAAAGCTGTTTTAAAACTAAAATTTACAGCTGGTAGCATATTAGCACCACCCCAGATAGCACAAGATAAACCACAGACGTCCTATTTAGGTAATTCTCGGCTTAGCCAGACCTAACGGGTCTGGGACATCCATAGAATGTCAAGTCTAGACCCTGTCCGGCTTAGCCTGATTAGGCGTATTTTGGACGTCCAAAGTAAGCCAAATAAGGCTTAGCCGGACCAGGTCTATAATTGACGTTCTATGGATGTCCCAGACTCGTTCGGCCTGGCTAAGTCGAGAATTACCTAGATTGGACGTTCCTGCTCACACAGCACAGGATGTCCAAATGACGTCCATTGGACATCCTTTGGACATCTTGTACTATGTGGGTGCACCCATGGGCTATCATGCCTAAACTTTTCGTTCAAGAAATTTCGGATATGTAATAAATTGTGGGTAATATTAAATATCATGTACAAATTATATAAACCACCTATTTTTATGAGGTTTCTCTTTTGCCTTCTTTGGATGTTCGTGGGACAGCCTGAGGGTGTCACAGAGAGTCAATCAAATCGATTAGCCTTATTATAAGAAAGATTAATTTACAATATATTAAGTTTATTATTGAATATAGGTAGTTTATAATACATATTTGTACTATTCGTCGGGATTTATACATTTATATTTAATTTAAAATTTCTTGTTATCACGTAAAGG